ATGTTTACTGTGTAAGATATTGTAAAGTTGTTCTTTGTTTAAAGTCTTTTTGCTTAATGCACTTTTAAATAAATTAATTTAGCGAGTCAAACACTAGAATATAACCATTTGTATAACGTTGTAAAAATGATAATTGTGATTGAATAAGCTCTTAATTCATTATTATGTCGATTCTAAAAAGCATGGAGGTCGAGATGGTGTCTTGATCATCAAAATCTCTGACATTTTGGCTGTTTGCTAACTTGGTAAATATAGTATTTCATTGAAATCATGAATCGATCAATATTAGACTACTAATAGAAATCTAGAATAACGTGTATTGACTGGAGTTAAGCATCAACATTGTTGGATTCTGGCTCAGTGGTCTAGAGTTTGGGCAGTTGAACTTGAGACCAAAGGCCTGCCGGTACTAGGACGAAACGGCCGTACACTGCTTCGAGGTTTTTAATGATAGTCTAACATTTAATGATTAATTATTACATGGAAACTCAACAATCTCCACAACCCTATGATGACAAATATGTTAATAATGATAGAAAATAGCTTTTTCTCAGTTTTGAGCTGTTTAGAACTCTGATATACTCACTCTTATTTCCAGTTTTTAATGTATATATATATTCGACTAACTTTGTTTTTGCTATGTAAACGAAGGTTTCCTGGAAGTGCCTTTATGAAACTCGTGAATTTAGCGATAAGTTAATAAATTATGATAAGCTTAGCATCATCATTGCTTTATTCTTTTCTAGTTTCATATCAGTTTGCTTAGTTCAATCACAGTTGTTGAACGGAACCAATCATTAATGTTTCCTGTACAGGATCATTCATTTTGATTTGAAAAATACTTAGTCTGATAGTATTTTATCACTTGACCTGTGTAAATGCATAATGAATATGCTTCTTTGGTTCCAGATGATTATAATGAAATTCAAATTATTAAACAGACAACTTACTGAGTAGTCCCTAAGATCAGTTCAAATACAATTTTATTTATGATCTTTTCTATGCACTTAAAGCTAGAATTTCGTTTGTTCACCTGGATCATGACAAGTTTAATAGGATTTCATTCCAATGAATTGTATTGTGACAAATGAACTTGTGATATATCAAGCTAAAACGTAAAGTCTATAGGTGTAATGGTTGTGCCTTTAACATATAAATTTATGGAACCCATTTGACCAGTACCAGTTTTATGTATTAGACTTTGGAATACTGTTTATGTGAAAGGCCACATTACTATTTGGTCACCGAAGCAGAAGTAAGAGAGCTTTAAGGTATAAACCTGTTACTCTATATGTTAATCTTTGAGCCACCGATTCAAAATACTGGTATAACATTGTTATAATCTAGTAAGCGAAATATTTAAATCTCAGCTTATCCTAAGTTAGAGCTTGTTATTGAGTATGCTACAGGTAATCGTTTGTTTTACTTGACTTTCATTCAACATTGTTCAACCTATGTATATATTCGCAAGTTACGCTTATTTTACTACCTATGTTTGAATGTCCACGTGAATAGTTGACTATGACCTAATCCTATACGTGTTGTTCAAATATTTCATTTATTTGGAACGACAATTTCTCATTGATGATAAACTTTTGCGCTTATGAACTTCAACCAGTAGCCTATTGCTTCGTCACACTAGTACTTGAATCACCTCTAATTGCTTGATAAAAGCAAACCTTTAGGATACAAGAACCGTATTATTTCTCATGATATTACTAATCCTATCTTTACATTTTATTAGCAAACAGATACATTGTGTGTGTGAGAGAGAGAGGCGTTATTTCCACCATTATGATCATGATTATTAGGTAGAGAGAGATGTATGCATGGTGATTATTCAAAATTTCCGATAAGATTTCATTGATTTTATATGAAAGCCGATCTTAGAGGGGACATAATGGGCGACATTTCAACATGTTGAATTTAAAGATCCGTCGAGAAAACATTTAACGCCACCTAGTTACATGTGAGCTTAAACAAACTAGTAATTATATAAAGAGTCAAGGGAAGATTACGAAACAAAGACTACTTAAGATGTGTAGGTTGTTGTTTAGGCCGGACTCATCTTTATATACTCGTGAACATGTGCCATCAGGCTGTGAAAAAGTATCCCAAAATCCATTAGCACCGCCATCGTTTCTCACCTGGTGGATAATGAAGCTCTCTTTGTTTCCCATCAGGTTCCAAGTAATCTGCCTGAAGGAGATAGATCATGGCTCCTCTACATCAACTCCAGGAAGCCTAAATCATGCATCTAAAAGAAATATGTACAGTCTATATTTACCCTGATCCACAACTAAATCACCATATGCCTAAGCTGGAAATTACGAACTCCTTATTCCGTTGTTACGCATGCACATAAACAGGTAAATTTGATATGCTTGGACTATTACGAGTTTACCTTGATCGGAAAACGAGAGCTAGGATCGAGGATCCGGCGACATGACATGCTACTCTAATCCGAGTGTTCCGACCCCCATTGAGTGAAAGAAGAAGACTTGATATGAAGTAGAACCTGCTACAAGCATCCAGAAAGTACGAGGTCCGAGTCCAGAAGAGATTCAGGATTCTGGACTAGGGATACGTGTCCAGGTCCGGGTCCGGGTCCAGGTCATAAAACTTTACAGATAATACGTATTTATACAGTTAGGTTGGATAAGAAACAACATTGAAGTCTGTGACATTGATAGTTAAGACGTCCAATGGGAAACATCATTTGAAGTGACACTGACAGTTAGTACGATCAATAGGAGACAAGTATGTGATATTGATAGTTAGGACGACCATAATGTTGATCAATAGGAATCGACCAATGGAATTTACACTTACAAAATAATATCCTAACATCCCTAATTCCCATTTCGTTTATATCTGCCTTGTCACTTCTTAATTTACACATCTTTTTCAAATTAAAATGAATTAGTTATCATAGTTGCCTTGATATCACCTCTCTTATCATATGGTATGTTTACGTGACATTATTATTATTTGTTAGGATAGTTCACAGAAGTCTTCAGAGGCTCTCAAAAAGCCGAAGCGCTGCTTTTCAGTCATAGCTCAACAGACTTCCCAGAATATCGACAGTGATTGGATTATTTTATTTACTGTTTTCACTCCATACAAAAAACCATAAGTACACCGGTTTCTCTGACGCTTACCAGAGTTATGGCTTCTTCTCTTTTTCGGTTTTTGTTTCGTAACCTGGGGGTGGTTCTACTTGTCAATCGTGCCAGATGTTGAATTTTCTACTAGTCGTTCTAGTAGCAGACGTAACATCATTATTAGTATTATCATTACCGTTGCTGCGTTTTCCTATTATTAATACATTGATTATAACTTCACGAATCATTTTAACCTTTTGTATATGACCTTTGTAATTTACAAATGAAATAGTTTTCAAGTGTATAAACTGTATTCGATGCGAAATTTCACTTCTTTTAACACAACGTTGTCTACTTTATTTGTAGTCCTTAGTTTGACCCTTGTTATACAAGAATTATGAACTTGGAGCTATAGAGCATTATGAAAACAGTTGTTCTTTTTATCATTCCTTATTTTTGAATGACCTATGAGGATTTTCAATCTGCGTTTTATGATTGTTTTATGTTCATATTTATAAAGTTTAATAAGACTAAGTATTAGAAAGTATAAACTAACCTCCAAAAAACTTATTACCAAAGAGAGCTAAAAATGATTTCTTTTGGTCGTTTATGATTTATATTTAGGTTTAGGAAAATCTCATAAACACATCAATTAAAAAGTTTTAAAATCGCGCAAATCGCTTGTTTTTGTTTAGGCTGTGATCATTGTTACTGTAAAATTTCCGTAATTGTTGTTTCAAAATGTAGCAATTGAAGCTCATACATTCAAGTACAGTATTATTCATCGACATTGCTGTTTTTGTTAACTTGAAACCTTGATCACCTTCAAACATAAGAATGTGGGATATCAATTGACAATTCGATCTCTGTACGCTAATGTGGTATCGCAACTTGAACTGATGGTACGCACGTATGAAGTTCTACGTTATAGCTGACTGACTGACCTTCAAACGTACTAAATACCAACTATTCAGGTCCCTAATTATACTGATCCATCATACAACTAAATAAAATAACTAGCTAATGTTGAAGTTACTTGTGGAAAACTGATCAGTCGAAAATTGTCTATCAATATTTGTGGGATCAGTTTGAATAAATTATGTAAATCCAGTCATTGTAATTAATTTGGCTTTGAATTCACTCACTCACTCATTTCTTCTGCATCTTTGGCTTTTTTTAAGAATCTTACAGTATATTTCTCATTTTCTATGTTGTTAGCTCATTGTGTCATTTGTTTTTTTATTTAGTAACACTGTTGGTTTGATCACTCTGACTGTGGTTTGCCTTTTTCTAATTATTTATGGCTGTTTTATTATTATGAAATGAAGATGTTTTATGGATGATCAACAATCTTGTTTTTGTTCGTACGTTATTTATGTATACAAATATGTCTATGATCATTTTCTTGTAAGCAGAAACGCAAGAATCATATTTTATATTTACTAATCATGAAACCGCCTAATTTATATTACAGAATGTTTGTCTGATTTATTTTACACAAAATGAACTGAGTGTAACTAACTGGTTAATTGAAGGTTAATGTAAATATGAAACTAGTTTTAGTTCACTCTACAAAAGGATAATGATCGGCAAATCATACATTCACCAAACCAAAAATAGTTAAGTAACTGAATCTCTTCCAATGTTGTTCACTGTAAGGGAGTGTATAAAAACCTGAATAACTCATTTCACTACTGATTACGATGGAAAAGTTATTCAGATACTATATTTTAAAAAAATATTTCTATGTTATGTTCAACGCTGGTTGTCACTTTTCATAAAAAGTAGTCTTTTTCAAAAGTTAGTTAACATTCGTGAGATTTAATATATAATGTTAACTTTTGCATTAGACGGCCACTTTGTATTACCAGTTAACTAAAAATAACCACAGTGTGAATGAAAGACATCGTAAATTTTGTGTTCATAATTGCATGGATGACACGTTATAGATGTGTATGGAGAATATATTCTAATTTTTCTTAAATTTTAGTTTTTGAAGCTAAAAATCTTGTTCCAATGGATCCAAACGGTTTGGCAGATCCTTATGTGAAGATCAAACTGCTGCCCAGTGATGAAGGAAGTAAATCCAAGCTAAAAACAAAAGTTTGTCGATCTACCCTAAATCCTGTATGGAATGAAACTTTTTACCTGTAAGAACATATTTTAAATCTACTATTTGTCACTAGGAATTTTTATTGATTATCACTAAACTTTTAGTTGTTTTGAAAAATACTTTAGATATCATCCAGTTTCTTTAAAAAAATTAATCTGGTTTATTTATATTACATATCTACGATTGACTTAAATTTGACGTCTGTCTTGTGCGACTTAAATATCAGTCAGTAGTGCTGACCAGTTAATTTTACACAAACATTTATGGAAAAGTATTAGCCATCTGCAGCTGAAACGCAAAATTGTACACTCAAAACCAATTTATACAATGATTCACGCTCCCATATGACTATTATTCCTTCATATTTGTGCATCCTTTCATGTCTTCACTTTCGCCCTTTTTTCAGTTTGCGTCACATGAAGTCGTATCTATCCATTCTCAATCGGAATTCTGAAATTTCTGTCATATTGTAGTGAATGAGAACACAGGTGGGGCAACCGAATTGTATTTAACGAAAATTACAGAGTTACTCAGTAAAATCGGAAAATCATATCGTAAATTGTTCATTTGCAAAAGATCAGTTCATCCTACGGAAATGGACTGTTCCTGTTGCCAAGCATCAATCCATTGTCACTATTCATGCGTTTCATACAAATTCCATTGTTTTCTAACTCTTCCTTTCTTGATCTTCCCCCGTATTATGCTACCAGACTTTACGTTGACACTCACGTCATATACTAATTATAAGTAGTTCGCACCACAGCACCACAATATTATTTTGGTAACTTCTCTCAACTTCTTATCCGTACTTACAGTAATCCACATCGGAAAAAAATCCCACCAAAGTTTTTCATATCATTGAGTCACTGATGTTTATTTGATGATATTTTTTTATCTTTTCCAATTGATCTGAATGGTTAGTTAATGAATACATTTATTCACTAGTACTAACAAAATGCACTCATTATGATCATTCATACCATCAAGCAAATTTGTCATCTCAATAAATTCTTCAAATAAATACGATTGGACAGTTTTTTAAAAAATATTAAATTTTCAGCTAGGAAAATTTCTTCACTGAAACTTTTGTTCAAACTGTAAGTAAAATTACGATAATCATTTTTCACTTTTTGTTCATTGAAATCGTGGTCCTTGTTTTAATATCCGACTAAAAAAATATCGGATTTCAGTCTCATTGATAAATGATAATCCATTCACTTTAACAGACATCTCTTCTATTTTTATAAGGTATATTTTTAACATGTCTTCTGGTCTAAAAAACATTTTGATAGTGCCATATGTCTGGATTCGATATTCTCTTATGCGGTAACTTCTAGGTGGACACTCCAGTGCGTACTACTTTTAAACCACGTTGCTAGTAGTATGCACAAGATCATTACTTATAAATGTTGGTGCTGCTCGGGGAATTATTACATGTGAAGTTCTTGGTAAATTACAAATTCAAAGCATTCGAGTTCGATGTCTTGTAAAATACAACTAATCAACCAAGTCTGTTACATTTATATGGACGATCAGTACTCCTACTAGCTTTACTCTTTTCAAGTTGAACTTAGGAATACATTTAGTGCCGATTTAGGTTATTGAGAAAATTTGAAGTTCATTGACGCCAATGAAAATTTTCCTTAGAGTATTTTCTCTACGGTTCCAGATATCGAACATGGGTTTGATTGATAAATCAGTTTTTCGCCTTTTGGTTTCATTTTAAGACATTTATGCCTCTTTTCTGAATAAATTTAGACAAACGTTTACTAACATATATGTTCTCTGTGTTTTTGTTTCCTTCCTTTTCGTTAACCATTGATGCTAAGAATCATTGCATATACTTTTATCTCTTCTTAGTTTTGAAGTCAAGAAAGAAGAATTATTGAGCATTTATTACTTTGTTGCATTTTTAGTATGTTGAAAGCTGTACTAAGATACTGTGGTATATTTTCATTGTATTCCATTAACTTTAAAGCGAGTTCATTGAATACAATCTGAACATCTTCATTTGATTTGTATCCAAGACATTTTTTACGTTCAGCCAAATGTTTGCTTACGCAGGCTCATCTCGCCGTAAGATCGAGGTGCAAATACGTAATCCAAAAGCAACATTAATAGTCAGTTGGCTTTCAGTGACGATGGACGGAATATATATGGCCTATTTGCGCCCAACAGCCTACGCAATGATCGCGAACTGTGGTGGGTAGCGAAAGCAAAGGAGATACAAAAGACATCAGTGAACAACTATTCAGACTCATCAAGGAAACTGGTATTCGGAATCCGAATGTCAGTGAGACTATCTCAAAAAAGGATGGCCATATCATTGATTCTGAACTCAAGATATTGGATATGGGCAGAACACTTCAGGGATCAGTTCAACTGGACTTCAGCCACACTTTGATTGCCCACGATCCCAAATCATTCTGGATGGCAAATCGATAGTAGTCCGAGTATTTATGAATTTGAAAAAGCTATAGGAAATCTGAAGCGGGGGAAAGCTGCAAGGCCTGAAAGGATTACCCCTGAGACTTTTAAGGATGGTGGTCTAGTTTTAGCAGTTAGATTGACTGAGATCTTAGGTTGAATTTGGGAACTGAACTGATCGTAATCCCTCCGACCTTAGCTGTTACTTTGACATGGTGGTCGAATTTGTCTATCGTGATGACCCGACCGAGCTATATTGGCAGGAACATATGTTCCTGAAGGTTTTACCATGTCAGGCAGGTCGATTGGAGAACTGTAAAACTAAAAGCAGCTACTAAAGGCCTGAGGGCATAGTCGTGCTGCTGACTGCAGAGGGGTGTGACAGCAGTAAGGTGTTTCCTCCGGACAACCAGCATCCGCAGCGATGCTACCTTCTCACAAGGAATGAAGGGTTAGAGAAGGTTGACCATAAAAATGTCACACCTCACCCTACCTCATGGATTTCCGTTTCAAAGCCCACTGAGGGCTTTTAAAAGCGGAGCTAATACTCAAAAAACGTTTCACAAAGAGGCCGTGCGTGACCGGCCTCAAACAGTTGTCCCTTGGACTCTGCGTTCACGCTCTCAGGTACTTAACACCAACACTAATCTACCTTCTTTTTCAGGTCCCTCAAAAAACAACCTTCCATGGTGTGGGCAGCCAGGAAGTGACAACCGACCTCACACCCGTTACAGCACACGAGAGCAAATTGGTCAAAATCAAATCCTTTCTACACCCAAAAATACCTCTCTTCTCTCCACAACTAACTCTACTCACATTCCCTTATCTCACTGCACCGCTAATGCAAACTATGCGAGTTCACGAAACGTCATTCCTGTTCTCTTGAAACCTCGTTCTAGACTACATGTTGGGGCTTTTAATGAACGGACATTGTGTCAAATAGGGCAACCAGCTTCCTTAGCTAGGACTTTTGAATCTCGCTCAATCGTTGTGTGCTGCATCTCGGAAACGCGCATACAGGATCCTAGTAAAGTCATTAATCTGTTTTCGCCTTGTCAAAACAAAGAAGCAGCTCGATTTACTCTTCGTGTATCCGGTAGCCGTGATGCTGCTTCCCGGGGTCTTGCTGGTGTAGGTATAGCATTGAGTCGTAAGACAGAACTGTCTCGTAGCCCGGATCCCAGTTGCTTGTTCGCTGTCCGACTGAGCATGTCAGTAAGGATTCGGGAAGATAGGGACATTCGCGGTTGCCCCTTCATCTTATCTGCCTATGCTCCTACTGACTGCAGTTCAGACGAGGTGAAAAATGGGTTTTACAGAAAGATTTCGGACCTCCTCCATAAAGTTAGGCGCTCTGATGTAGTAATAATGGCTGGTGACTTCAATGCTCAAGTAGGTAGACTCAGCGAAAAGGAAAGATAACTGGGTGGATGTTATGGTGTCGCGGTAGGCAACTATTCAGACTCATCAAGGAAACTGGTATTAGGAACCCGAATGTGAATGAGACTATCTCAGAAAATGACGGGACTATTATTTATTGTCATTCCAGGAGACTGAATCGATGGGCAGAACACTTTAGGGATTAGTTCAACTGGCCTCGAGCCACTCTTCGGTTACCCACGATCTCCAGTCATCCTAAATGGCAAATCGACGTAAGTCCCCCTAGTCTTAATGACGTTGAGAAAGCGTTAGGAAATCTGAAGCGAGGGCGTGCTGCAGGTCCTGATAGGCTTAGTCCTGAGATATTTAAGGATGGTGGTCCAGTTTTAGCAACTAGGTTGACTGAGATCTTAGGTAGAATCTGGGAACTGGACGTAATCCCATCTGACTGGTCTCAATCACTGATTGTCTCAATCTATAAGAAAGGACACAAGTCTTCTTGTGACAATCACAGGGGAATAAGTCTAACTAATATAGTATCTAAAATATTGGCCTCAATAATACTTCGACGCTTAACGAAAGCTCGTGAAGAGCAGACTAGAGAAAACCAGGCTGGTTTCAGTCCTGGACGTGGTAGTATAGACCACATCTTCACACTACGACAGGTCCTGGAACACACACACATTTAGGCGTCCTACAATAGTTGTTTTCCTGGACCTTGAGGCGGCATTTGACTCAGTGGACCGTGAGGTTCTGTGGCAGTGTCTGTCATTGAAAGGTGTACCAAATAAGTACATTAACCTCATACAAGCTCTCTACTCGGACACCACTGGTCAAGTGAGAGCTTATGGCGAACTGTCACCGGAATTCTTCACTCCCAGTGGTGTTCGTCAGAGATGTCCACTCTCTCCATTCCTGTTTAATTTTATGATAGACATGCTCCTAGAAATAACCTTATCCTCGTCTGAATTTTCAGGAGTGGACCTTGTTGTCGATCCATAGGTGGACATTTCTGTTGCTTTACATAAGTATATACTTGGTTTTGTGTTGGTGTTGCCATTGTTGATATGAGCCTGCTGTAAAAATCTTTCATTATTTCGAGTGAGGATGAAAAAAATAAACAAACCGTATAACACATTTTCTTTTACCAATATGATTTATCACTAATGTTATTTGGAACTTGCAGAATCTAATTTTTGAAAATGATACAAATTAGTTAGATTGTCATTAGATTAATAGGCATGCTATTTCTCGTGAATAACAATTTATTTATGATTCTTTTATCATGGATTTCTCGTAATTTTTTCTTCCCAATGTTTATATTCGACTGTTTTATATTGTCAAATTAGATCATTTTAATTTATTCATATTTCACGCGAACTAATCTCAGAGATGTAAAATGTAATAGTTTGAAGTTCGTACAACATGGAATGCTTTTCGACATGTTCAAAAAATGTTGCCAGTGTTCGGTTTTTTTCATATTTCTTTTTTAAGTTTCAAAATGAGTGATTTTTAACGTCATTTGCGTTTGTTTTCGCTAAACGCATAATCAGTAAAGCTGTAATTTATGTGATATGTGAATTCTGAGAACAGTTGGTTAGAAACTAGAGTCATTGAATTGTCTTATGCTAATGTGGTGCGCGCTACTTATAAGTAGTATATGACGTGAGTGTAAACGTAATGTCTGGCAGCAGAAGATGGGGGAAGATCAAGAAAGGAAGAGTGGGAACACAATGGAATTTGTATGAAACGCATGAATAGTGAAATGCCAGACAATGGATTGATGGTGGCTTGAAGATTTGCAAATTAACCTTTACGATATGGTTTTCCGATTTTACTGAGTAACTCTGTAATTTTCGTTAATTACGATTCGGTTGCCCTCACCTGCGATCTCCTTCACTACACTAAGCGTAATAGTTTCCAAAATCTTATGTTTACATAGTTATTCTCAATGGCTGTATGAATTTTACATTAATGTACTCATTAATTCTGATAAAAATCAGACATTTCACGACTTTTTTTCAATCGTTTTTTAAACTCGTACGTTTGAATCCAGTGACAAACCGTGATAACGTTTGTTTATATTTCGAACTCAATAATACCGTACTCCATACTCTGCTGAATCAGATTGTCAAAAATAGTTTTAGTCATTTGGTCATTAAAATTGAGTTTTTCAGGTATTTGTGTACTGTATGTTGATCATCATTTCGAAAAGAAAAACTGTTAACTTTCGTCAGTTAAGATACTCATTTGCTGAACAAATAAAATTATTGTGTTGAATACGATTTTGCAATAATAGAATTAATTAAATGGATGAAGGCACTGATGGGAATATTCTTAATCATGATTAGATCAGAGCAAAATAATCTAGAAGATGACTCATTGTAAGTTCGTGACAGGCTAGTGCTTGTTTTGAAAAATTGCCTTTCAGTTTCAATGGTTTAAAATAATTTCCACACTCACAAACTAGTTGTCCATTGCTTTGACATGCATATTCTTGGTCGAAACAATTTTCGCTATGTAATAAATCTAAGCCATTGCATACCTTCTTCAAAAGTGTAATCATGCAAACCTGATATCGTTGCTTTTTTGATCAAGTGAATCTGACCAAATTGCCGAAACTGTCAGGTGCAGTAAATGCTTCTAATTCTGTGTCTGGTATCAGTGAACTGAAACACTGAAGGTCAAATTTTTGACGAACGTTGCCTACGCGTATTTATATCAATGTAATCACTGAAAACTACAGAAAAGCAGCTGAAATTTTATCTATTGTTTACTATTTTACGCGTCAACAAAACAAAAGCTTTTCTATCAGTGAAATATTTTTTTCAACTAACTGTCTTAACTAACCTTATCACCTGAAACAATAACTTCACAGTAGAAATAGTACATTTATAAAATCCCAGTCATCAGGAAAATATATTTCTAGTGTTTTTCATTGATGTGATTGAAGTGAAAATGGAAACAAGTTAAGCAAAACAACACTAGAATAAGAATAATCTTCATACAAAAACCTAGAAGCCAGAGAAAAGGCGTTGTTTACACAGGTGAATTGAAGTTTCACCATTGTTTCTTGGTGTTTTACATCCCATTTTCCTTTGTTATCTTCTTAACAAACATTCTATTTTTTTCTAAACATATTCTGTAACTGCTCAATCGTATATTTAACCTATATTATGTAAATCGGCTTAGCATCCTTATACATTTGTTAGTTAGAATAAAACTTAAAGATTTCTTATAAGAATTTATGTCTTTCCTTTATTGCTTTGTTAGAGCTATATCAAACGATGATCATTCAAAGCGTCTTTCAGTTGAAGTTTGGGATTGGGATCGAACCTCCCGAAATGATTTTATGGGTTCTTTTTCGTTTGGGGTTAGCGAAATCATCAAAGAATCAGTGTCATCATGGTATAAACTATTAAATCAAGAGGAAGGGGAATTTTATTCACTACCATGTGTTGATGAAGCCGGTACAGCTGTTTTAGAATTGCGTAAACGTATGGAAGTAAGTAGTAAATTTTATCAAATATCTTATTAATTTCCAATTTACTCACTTAAAATTATCAAAATATCTAAAGATAACACATACTTTTCATAAATGCTTTGAAATCTTGGTAATATTATGCTGATTTTCACCTCTGTGTTTAATGTCTTCAATAGTACTCATTTACGGTGCTTTTTATAATCGAAGTAGGGATTTTTAGGAAGCGTTATTTCAAACAAGATGGTAGGTCGTTAGGTTTTAATCTAAATTATAGAGTTTCGTAAGTTGAATAACCTGCAAACTGACATTACTCATTATAACAGTGGCGTTGATCTCAATAAATGGATCATAATGTCTACCGAATTTAAGTTATTTAGCTAATCATGTAACTTGGTTCATGTACAGTAATTTAAGCAACCTTTTCTATAAAGACTATCAATGGTATTTAGTTGATCCAACCAAAATAACCAGAGCAGGGTTTTTTGTTCATACTTTACATGTTGAACACCATGTAACTTGTATCGATATGTTTTTGATGAAAGTGGTTAGTATATTATTTTCCATATCGACTATGCTTGTTTCTCAACATATAGTTACTACATCAAGGAAGTTTATGCTGAAAGTCGACTGCTACGCAATGTAATTCTTCATTGATGATGAATTTAGATCAGTGTTAGACCTTTCCAAAGGTTGGTTTTAAATGCAAATACAGTGTTTGTCCGAAAATAAAACCAAATCATTCCATTCAATGTTTGTGTAAATATGTTATCAAAATCAATCTACTCCACTGAGTTCCCATTGATGGGAGAAAATGCATCTTGTTTAGAATGTTCAGAATGTCCACCTCCATTGTGATGCTAGTAATTTTGATTATGTAGAACACAAAATGTTAAGTGGTTATAATCATCATTATTCTAATTTTTCCCTTCCCCAAACATCCAATCATTTTTGGTTAGAAAATTTAGGATTATTGAGCGTACACCTTTATGACAGCATTCAGTGATTTATGCATTAATTATTGATATAAATGAAATGACGACATTGTTTATTAGATTACACATCTTAAGAGATACACAATCCAAGACATACTGAATAAAGCGGATGATATATCAATACTTAACTAGCAGACATAATAGAATGGGAGATATTACTGATTAGTAGACAAATTCATTTATATTTAGGTAATGATTGGAATTTCAACAGTGTAGTTACTAGTTGGATCTGATTCAGCTCACTTGCAGAGCATTGACTGAGTCTCAGCTTCTAACTATTAATTTGGCTTTAAATTAATTTCTATCATCTATGAATGAGAATGATATAACAAATCATTTAGTTAAAGCGTTCTCATAAAGTATGAACAAATAAATTCAAGCATAACTATCCAGGTTTCACATTTTCGTTTGCTTGATGTTTTCTTGACTGATTAATTGTTTATGGAAATGTGTGTTTGATTTGGTTTAGTTTTTTTGTCGTATAATGACAGACTCTAAATTCTTTTGTAGAGTAGAGTCCTTGTTCTTCATTGCATCCGCATGTATCTGAAAACATATGATAAATATTGTTTAGTCTTTATTCAGTTTCATTGAGGCGTTGATTTGTAACATATATTTAAATCACTTCCCAAAATGATATCTCCGTTTTTTGGGATAGAAAAACTACAATAAATACTTATCCATGTCCTTTCAAGTTTTAATGGCTTGTCTTAAAGTTGACTTTAATATTTCATATTTAGATTATATACCATTGTTTTCATTACACTTTTGAAGCCTTATAAGTCTTGAGTTATAACGAAAACTAACAGTACTGTACGATATCCTCGTATGAGTTGACGATGTAGTTAACTGACCGTAAAATGATCTATGTCAGTTCAGGATTCAGTTGCAGAACAAAGGGTTAATCTCCTGACAGTGATTATAATAACCTTTTCTTAACTAGTTACTGTCGTTGACAAAATTTACATTGGCAGAAGTTGGGAAATAATTTCAGTAACTTGTATACTTTGTCTTCAGTTCTTCCAACAATGAAATTTGATGAAAAAACAGTAAACATGAAGAAAATGTAATCAGTCAGCAGGTGATTATCAAACACTGATAAAACTGCCCAAAAATGAACATTTACTACGAAGTAGTATCTACTTCAAATGCGAGTATTTCTTAACGACACTGATGATTTCTAAAGCTGTTTTTTTAGGTTTTTGGAGTCAACTGTTGATCATGAGATGTAAAACACACTTCTGTGAATAGAAGTGATTTAAGAGACTAGATTACTGAAATAGTATAAACCGATTAGGCAGTGAAGTTTTCTGATGTTGAAAAGTTTTCGAAAATTTTCATTTTAAGAATATTAGTCTTTGGATCAATTTATGCAATAGATAACTGATTACTTTCAGCAGGGGAAAAATTATATTACATTATGTATAAATATAGTCTAAATGGCTTGAATTCATTTTTCTGGTTAGCTTTTTTTATCGAATTAGTTTTCTACGGGATGGGGTCGCTAACCCCACTCCCAACCCTACTCCTCTATCCGAGCTTGGGACCGGCAGCAGAATCAGAGGGTCACCAGGCCGAGATATGGAGAAAGAGAAAAGCTAATAAATTGAAGCGATCGGCTCAGTTTCCTGTTACTGTTCTATTGTTTAACTGCTGTAGTTATTGAAAAAATCTCCTCGTAATATACGATCGTTTAAAATGGACTTCATTTTGACCATTGTCTTTGATTTTCATACTAAGTAAATACGTGAAAGTTTTGCCTAAACTATCAAAAGACTGATTGTTTAGCATTCGCAATATTTATATCACTCATAATTTAGTGTTTTCACTTTCTGCTGTCGTTATTCGTATTGATTGTCCCGATATAGAAGTTTTGTGGCAATAATAATAAATTAGCCCAAAGACATTCTTGATTGTTTTCCAGAAGCAAACTAAAAAAATATTCGAACGATTTTTTGAAGCGTGGTAACCATTACGTATGTTAGTTTTAATCGAGTGTGCATTTAAATTCAGGCTGTCTAGCGGTTCAGATGTAGTTATATGCAATGAATCTCATTGTCGACCGTCATCACCGGTCACTGAGATTTGGTTCAGTAGAATAAACTGTCGCTTAAATAGCCATTACATTTTTAAATTAAATAAATAATTTATAGTAGCAGTGCGGTGCATTACATTGTAGTGATTTGTTGCATTTTCAATGAAACTATGTCTTTTCATTTCTCCTCTGTTACATGTGGCTGTACTTTCATCTCTGGATGATATAAATGGTTCAAGAACTACGTTCATTCGTTGAAAATAAGTGAATGGAATAGTTCAAATTAAGGTGTTTGTAGTTTTACAAAAATCTATAGCTTTTACAGCGGAATCTTCTGTCTGAAAATCAACGCTATAAGCTGAGGACTCGTTTGTTTCAAATCAGCAGTTTCATGTGATTTATCCTGTTGTCTGTTTCATTTTATGAAGGTGTGAAAGTATGGGAAATGATCATGGCTCCAAAGCATAAAGAAATAATAGTTTGTAAATCTACATCTCTACTATCAGTCAAGGTGCATTCACTGTTTTTTGAAATTCACAGTTTACCTTAGCTATTAACTTATTTTTAGTATTAAGTGTTTGATTTTTCTACAGATACATGTAGATGTTATAAGATATTTATTTACCAAGTTTTCAAATAATGTATTTTCTAATAAACTTGATGAAGCTACACTTGCGTTTATTGAAAATTATTATTTGACTTTTAGAACGGGATTTCATTTTACCATTATTATCCACCTTTTTGACACCTTATTGAAATTTTTATTTTCTACTTCAGCGTATGTCTACTGAACATTTGAATTTGGCTAATAATCAAAATAAGATGTCAACCTCATCCACAATATCACAGCATAAACCAGATATCCCTCGACCAAGTGATTTCAACTTTCTTTTTGTCTTAGGGAAAGGCAGTTTCGGAAAGGTTTGTTCAATTCATTTTCTTTATAAAAAAAACAACAGATTTTTTCTAATTGTTTCGGACATCATCCTATTAAGTAAAGAACAATCCCAGGTTTATCGTAGTTCCATGGTAGATGACCTAAAGTGAAGTTTTATATCAATTTTCAACGAATAAAAATACCTCAATGAAACTGGATAGCTATTTTACTATTGACTCGTAGCCCTTGTAGTTAAACCCACTGTAACCCTTCCACATACAACTGAGTTTGTTCATATTTAAGCTAGTTAAGCCCTTGTGATTAACTTATATAACTGAGTCATTTGTACCATTGTGCTGTTATTACCGTCGCGCTTGTTTGAACAGGTATGCCTGAACATTGCTTACCGCCTGCGCGCGCATTCATCCTATTCTCTCACATATTTAGACTAATCATCCATTTTCCTACATTTATATATATATATATATATATATATATTATTAATTCATTCACCGATTCGCTTACTCTCTCGCTTGCTTGCCTTCCGACACTCGCTTATTGGTTTTATCTTTGTGTGCCTGTGGTCTGGTTGTCTAGTTGTGATGTGCCAAATAAACGTATTCAAAGCTTCGTATTCGTCTTCTGATTTCTAAACCGGCGGCGCTATTTGGTAAGGGTTTTCTGGACTAGAAGCACACGAAGTCAAAAAACGCATCTGATACTGGCCGTCACAAAACTAGTGAGACACTGGCCACCATACCTAGTAGAACCTCTGTTTCAATCAATGAAAACTTTTCTATTCCCTGAATTCTACTAGCTCTTAAAGGTTATCCATTAAATTGGATTAAATTCGTGTATTTCTTCTCCACAAGCATCAGAAAATGCAGGATTTCAGTCATAAATTGAATTTTCGCTGGAATTCGATAATCATTATTATCATTTTGGTTAGTAAGTAAACTTGTCTTTTAAAAAGACAGCTGAGTTGTGCTAGCTTAACTTCGTTGATAACTATGACTTCAAATAATCCTCCAGGATCGGGAATCACTAATATCGGTTACTGTTAATCAAGAAGAACTAGTTACAGTTATCTGCTTATTATTTCCAAAGCGTTTTCTATCACAGCTAACTGTTCGTAACAGCCAAATTCAAATTATTTTTCAAAATACCTTTTTCAAACTAAAGGAAAATTTATTGGCTGGACTCGATGATAGGGATGAATCGCGTTTCTTGTAGTCGTTTTAATGTGTAACACGTTTTTCTTAACTTCTTTAATCAATACTTTTCATTCGTGTGTTATGTTTGGCTGTTGAAATCTTCAGTGACAGTTCAAATTATTCAGTATTGGTTTCTGTATGCCTTAAAATATGTCTTAAAATATGTAGTTACTGAACGTCGTAGTGTTAGTCGAGTCAAATTATGTGTAATTTATACCAAACCTATTTTTCGATTTGATTTTTCCTGCTTAATTCTCTTATATATTATTTCACTGGAATACTGATATTACATTTACAGGTGAGAAAAGAGTGTACCTTTAATTTTTTTCCAAGGTTATACTTGCTGAACAGAAGCATATGGATGAACTGTTTGCTGTAAAAATTCTGAAAAAAGATGTCATTTTACAAGATGATGATGTGGAGTGTGCTATGACAGAGCGAAGAGTACTGGCTTTGCCGAATAAATCTCCATTTCTTGTTCGACTACATTCATGTTTCCAGTCTATGGTTAGTGTACAATGATTTTTGAAGATATTAGATCATTTCTCTTTATTTTTTTTAAAAATTGTTATTCTTAATTTATGTAAAACTTTCAGTAAATACTTTCTTTCATAATTGTAGTCGATGTAAATTATTGTTGTTGTAAGTTCAATCAAAAATCTGTCACTATAGCTGTGCAGGTCGAAGACTTATTAAAATGTTTCCTCAAAATATATAAAATGTTCAATGCTTTTGTTTGTTTGTTTGTTTGTTTGTGTGTGTGTTTGTTTTATTAACCGATGCATCATATCATTCCTGTCAAAAAGACTAGTGCTAACCAATTGGTAGTGAAATATTTTATTAACTCATATTATGTTGGGAATCACTGGGAATTAGAACAGGAAAAATCTCACGGAAAATTAGATCGTATCAATAACCAACCAGTAATAGATAACCTAGTCCACATACCAATACAGTCGAAATGGATTTCATTATTCTCCGATATAATGTTTACAAGGAATGCAAGTAACCACTGAAACGCCATCTCCAAGAATTATTTATTGTGATTTATGTATGATAGTAAACCAGAGAAATAAATTAAATGACCTCTTAGACCTTATTCACCTCAAACTAATTCTTCTCATAGTCAATTACTCGTGTTATCTTATGTTGGCTTTCTTTCTTTCTTTCTTCAGGATCGATTATATCTTGTGATGGAATATGTAAATGGTGGAGATCTTATGCATCGCATTCAACAAGAAGGGAAATTTAAAGAACCCGTAGCTGTGTACGTTGTATCATAATTATCTGTATGACGTTTCGAAATCATATCTTCATTTTCTCGTCTAAGCAGAATAACATACTATTTTTTTAAAAATTATTGTTTCTTCAGAATCGATTAAATTGTCATAAACAATTAATCTCCATTTGTAGACATATGTCACGGAAATAAAAGACTATGTTCCTGATTTTCCGCGTTGCTCGATTACAGATTTCGCGATAAGTTAAAGATTTTGATTTGCAAATCTTTTTGTTTGAACAACTCTCATAAGTTTAGGAAAAAGTGAAAACTTATTTTGTTCTGTTTAAGTATGATGATTGTAAAATGGATAGAACTAAGAGCTCACTCTTTATTTAATCGTATTCTATCATCATTTTACAGTAGGATTCAAATTTACTCACACGGATGTTTACTAACCCTGGTACTTCGTATTTATCCTTTGAAAAGGGAGACTATCTTATCAGTTTTCCCCTTTGCATTTTCTTCATCTTTTGATTTCTCACGTACTTCGTTTCTGATTACTACGTGACTTTTGCTGGTTATTATTATTATTATTATTATTATTATTATTATTGTAAGTCTGTTCCTGGAGTTTCGGCCAACTTCGACTTTAACATATCTTCACTGTACAAACTAGAAATAGTTTCAATTGTATTATCATGTTTTTATTGTTATTATTTTCACTAATAATTCAATCGGAGATTTATTGCTACTAATTTGGTGTTTATTAATAATTGCATATTGTAACATCATTGATCATCATTGACTCATAGATAATTTAAACTGGCTTAATATTTTAATTGTTTCTGACGAAACACACTTGTAGATGAATGTAAACACTGGCAAGGATTTAATTTAAACTAATGTTATTCAATTATATTATTACAGAGTTACTCAGTAAAATCGGAAAACCATATTTTAAATTGTTCATTTGCAAAAGATCAGTTCATCCTATGGAACTGGACAGTTCCTGTTGCCAAACATCAATCCATTGTCACTATTCATGCGTTTCATACAAATTCCATTGTTTTCTAACTCTTCCTTTCTTGATCTTCCCCCATATTATGCTACCAGACTTTACGTTGACACTCACGTTATATACTACTTATAAGTAGTTCGCACCACAGCACCACATATATATATATATATATATATATATATATATATATTTCCAATTCACACATTGACGAAATGATAGTTAATTAAGTTAGAATTTTTATTCACTAGAATAGTTTTTGATAAACTGTATTGAATGATTGATTCCCCAAGGGATTTTTTTAACATTGCAACGGTGAATACAAGTTTTTTTTTGAAATGAAATAATTTTACTGTTCACTGAATTCACGTTCTTATTTAATGTAGACGTATGCATTGTTCAGTTATAAACGAATTGTTTAAGCTATTATATTATTTATTCAATGCCTAGAACGCTGTAAGTAATAAAACCTTATAAATAATTGTCGACATCATTTTATAAGCTTTTGCAGTTGTGAGCTGTAATTTGCCATGTTCGATTTTTTTTTCATGTATTAAACATTAAATCTAGACTTTTCTTAGTATATACATAGGAATTCTATAGCGCAATACATTTGTGAGATATTATACATTTCTCTACAGTTCGTTACAGTTCAATGGTTCTTGTTGTCTGGAAAATTCATTGATTATTTTCTTGTCTCAAAAGATTCGTCCATTTAATGGGTTTTTTATTATGCGCCTTTTATCAAATGGGAATTCATTTTTGACATTCTACACACGATCGTCTGTACTGTCGCAAGATACACACTCAACAAATATTCATTTGTCGGCTTTCTTTCCTGCAATACAACAGTTATCTTCTTAGAAAGAATAGGAAAATAATTTCAAAAGAAACGCAAGGTCTTTTCTAAGATATTTTGCAATAAAAAATTAGTTACGGTACTTCATTTCAGAGATACGTCACGAGAAAATCACTCACTTTGAAATTGGTTTAGAAATATTTTGCTGTCCTAGATGATACTCAAAGAGATATTTTGATATTGATTTTATACAACATTTTAGCATTTTTCTGTGACCTACAATTTTATTTTTCATGAGCTGAAAATTTTGTCAATAACGACAACATCTACTTATTAATCTTAATCGGTAGCGAAACATTCATCTATAAAACGTAGAATGAATCATACCCTAATTTGGAGTAGGTGTTAACAATCCGAAATCTATAGCATTTATTTATTGCTACACGTTTTTTTTTTGTAGCAGGAACAATGATATTTATACACAATCCATTCTGTTTAAATTCAAATGCATTACATACGTCACATAAAAATATAAGGACAATTCACTCAGATGTTGTAATTACCCGCAACCGACTATTCAAAACAGTTGCCATGAGATTATATTCTATGAGCTCGTTAAAAAATGTTCCATCTGTATAACTACACCTCATTGAATTCAGGCCTATGATTGCACTGGAATATCCACCAACAATAGGACCTTGACCATAAAGCATAAAAGGGTTCGTTAGATTTCCTTTCAATATAACAGCTAACTGTACCAGTAATAACTTCATTGAAATTGATTTCAAACTTTTAAAAAAACCAACATATTTGAATTCTAATAGATATCACTCAGCTAAAATACCAGATTTGTTTCCGTAACAATAAAGACTTATTTTATGAATAGGTAAGAGCTCCACAATATACTTAATATTGCTATCCTCAGTAATACACGGGAGAAATACTTTCGGATAATGACCATGTTCAGTATTATACGTAGAAAATGGCGCTCAACACGGTCAATGAGCTCTCGTAGATTATAAATACTTTTGATCCTATAATAAATATTAGTTGTGCGGTAACTCGTTAACTGTGTCCTAATTTTTGTAAACGCTATACATAGTTTATATTGATACAGCTTCTTTGGTTTTACCTGCTGAGGTTGCCAAAAAAGAAGTTTTTGCATTTTTTTTCTTCATTTTTAATGAATGACTTGACCTTACTTAAGCTTCTTTCTATCTCCCATGATCTTTGCATGTTTAATTGTCATCTAAGAATATTTTTCATTTGAATTATCACAATACCATTTTTTATCAAAATTTTACTTTTTTGATTTATCCATTTTAAAGGGCTGCTTGTTTTTGCCTTTCTCCTTTTCACATCGCATTTTGAATGTATGCAAACAAATGGCTAATCATATTTTGAAGTGCTGTTCATTTGTCGATCATTTGGCAAAATGAAAACTAAGCTGTTATTTCTAAAAACAGTGCAATGTGAGTATGAACAGAACGTATACTTGTCTTCAAACAAGTCGAATTAATTATCACGCTTTGATGAATACACGTTAATTATTTGATTTAGGGAAAAAAGAAATTTTCTGAAGTACCAGTTGTGTTGTAATATGTTACTGAGTATTTTAATTCGAGTGTGAAATAAAGATGAACAATTTACACTGTGCAATGAAGTGAATTAGTAATGATGTGTTTTTTGTTTGTAACAGTTACATTTTGTTAGCTAATTGATTATTTCACTTTACATTGATTCTCATGATTTTATTTGTTTTAGATTCTATTCAGCTGAAATTGCATTAGGTTTATTTTATTTGCATAATCACGGGATTATATACAGGTGCGTAAAACAATTATATGCTTATTAGTGTGTGGGATAGTGTTTTTGGAAATTGGCCAGTTTTTACTTTATTTCTGTTTTTTTGTATGGTTCATGATAACCGGTAAATCAGAACAGTTAAGAAAGTGAACATTTGATTTATTCGTATTGCATTTTTCTGGAAGAAATATTGTAGGCTACTTAGAAGATCAACTTGAATTCTATCATTGACTTGTTGATGATAGTGTGTCAATAAAATGTTTATTCTTATTAGCTTTAGATATCATAATGAAATATCTACACTTAGAAAGAACGTAGTTTTTTTCAGTTCGAAAGATACTTTACTCTTCCACTTTTAGTCATCTCTGATATCAATCCTTTCTGAATGCATATGTCAGCATGTACAACAAAACACAATAGTTGTACTATTGCTATTTTGTTAGCATTTGAACGAATGCTTTAACAAACATTGGCCGCCAAGGGTAAAAAAATATTATTTGTGAAAATTGTATTTGAAATAATCTTAGCAATTGAAATTTTCAAGAATTTCAACATTGCAACCAGCTGTCTTATCTGACGGTTCAATCATTGAGATTATTTCGAATATAGTGTGCACAAATAATATATTATCAGTACTTGAATATTAATTTGCTGAAGGTAGAAGATGATACTAGTAAATAATGAAAGTTGAGATTTTTTCATCAATAATTTGGACATGAACGTTTTTTCTCCCCAAATCTAACAAGTATACAGTTTACTGTGTTAAAAATTATTCCTAGCTGACCGGTTGTATACTTCCTGACCCTCATTCTGATCATAAGAATTCCACATGATGTTGATTATCTTTGCAGGTAAATCATATTGTCGCAAAAGCCTCCGTAGTATCTTTATTCCACTCTATCAACTGCTTTCTCATAGTCAAGGAAGTGGATGTATAGTGGTAAATTCCATTCAATTGATTGATCCACAATGATCCATAGTGTTGCGACTCGGTCGGTACATGACCAACCCTTACGTAAAGCAGTCTACTGATCTTCAAGTTGGACGTTTAATGAACCTTTCATTCTATACAACGATACTCGAAGAATTTTCTTGGTATTGTTAATAGAGTGATGATTCTGTAGTTCTCACGCTTGCTGAGATCTTTCGTTGACATCTTGATGAGGTATGTTTCTTTCCTCTCTATTGGTACTTATTCTTCCTTCTCAATCTTGCTGAAGAAAATGTTTAGTACCGTCTCAGGTACCACTCTTTCTGCTTCCAGTGCCTCAGCTTGAATGTTTCCTGGTCTTGCTGCTTTGTCACTCTTGGCTTGTCTGAGGGTCATGCTGATTTATTCGATGATTGCTGGCGTGATGTTTTTAGGAAGACCTGTAAATACTGCTACAACGATAGTTAGGTTCAGTGATCTCTGTCTATTCAATAGTTCTTCAAGGTCCTCTACCCACCTGCTGTACTGTTCTGCAATTTCGGTGAATATTTTGCGTTCCTTGTCCTTCACTGCTCGTTCTGGTTTACAATATTCTCCAGAAAGCTTCTTCATTGTATCATATGGTTGCCTCATGTTTCCTCCGCTTGTAGCCTTTTCTGCTTTCACTACTGGATCTTCCTCAAATTTTTTCATATTAACTCTAATTTTCCTCTGCACTTGCTTGTTTGCTTCTGTGTATTCGGCCTGCCCATTGAGTTTCTCTGTTCTTTTCGGCTGTTATGGATTGCTGTCTTCGTGTTCTTCCTTTCTTGAATCTTATCCAGTGTATCAACATTAATGCATCACTTGTGATGTTGTTTATTGTCACCCAAAACGTCGTGAAATGTCGACGTTATTGCTTCCTTAATCGCTTTCTAGTTGTTCTCCATGGTAGTTTCTTCTTCAATGAGTAGACCGTAAAATACTTGTAACTTACTGTTAAGAGCTATCTTGAATTCTTTGAGATTATCAGTATCCCGTAGAAAGGCCTTATTAAACTTTTGTGATGCTGTTTGTCCAGTTTTCAAATGCTTCCTTAGTTTTAGCTTCATTTTGGCTGCTACCAAGTAATGATATGTGAAGCCATGTCATCTCCTCTCCCAGTTGTTACGTCCTCCATCGTCCTTCTGAACCTTTTATTGATGCGGATTTGATTGATTTTGTTCTCCGTAGTGTGATCCGTTGAGCTACATATAGCTTTGTGTATGCGTTTGTGTAGGGATACCGTGCCGCCTATGACCACTTCTTTGAATGTACATAGGTTTTTGATCTATTTTTATTGTTCAACGATAAGAATTTTACTGATATCACGATATTGAGTATTTATACTAGATTTTAAATGATTATTACTATTATGTTTAGGTCGTAAGTAGCTGTCGAGAAACCCCAAAATGAATTCATGATATTCTGCTACGTTACTTGTTCGTGCTTTATGCAAAATAAACGCATCTGTGTAGTAGAACTGCAGAGCAATCTGCAAATCTACCTTCGAACTATGGCTTACTCTGCGTAGTCGGTTTGCTAATATATTATCCCAGACATTGATGACAGTCCTATCGAATGAAGAATAATATTTGACTGTTGTTAGTTTGACTTACTTTTCAAATAAGAGTTATTATTTGTGTTACATTTTAACAAAGTTATTTTCATCCTTATTGTTACGACAGTGGTGTTTACATAATTTTTAACATTCTGATGTGTTACTGATCATTCGGTCTTTCTTCAATTCGAACCTAATTATTGTGTTTTACTTTACACCATCAGGAATCTCAGTAACTACTTTTGCAGGTGATAAAATTATACTCTATTATTTTCTTAATTACATTCTCCAAGGGATCTCAAATTGGATAATATTCTATTAGACAGTGAAGGTCATATTAAAATAGCTGATTTCGGTATGTGTAAGGAGGGGATATTTGACGATAAAAAAACAAGAACATTTTGCGGTACACCTGATTATATTGCTCCTGAGGTAAGCACTAACTGGATTGTTGGTTACTTACTGACGAAAAATAAAGCCAGTAGCAGTATTTTTTTTTCGGTGTAACTTATTGTTCAATAGATTTTTAATCTCAGTACTTGGCGATTGTCATTGTTACTGTCACACTTCAATGAAATAATAAAGCGTTAGCTATTATCTTAACCATCCACATGATATTGCACCGTTAACAAATTACTCCGTTGAAATACTTAATGGAATATCTTTGCTCATATATACCTTAAATCAATATAATTCAGTACTCAGGTACTAATTCGATAGAAATGTTTTGTGTGAATGCTGTGTTTATTCCCCTCGTTGTGATTACCTGAAACAGAAATCGAGAGAGAGGTGTTCAATCCTGTTGAGTGCTTAAACTATACACTCACCACTTTCGTACCCTGTATTATATGTAAGAGTAAAACGCCGTGTACATATATCATCTCAAACTGTTCTGTATAACGTTTTTACGAATTGATTAAGCCTCATTGTGAGTTTCATCCATAAAAAAAACAATATTCCCCGGTTAATACAGTTAAAATTTCTGTAAGTCATGTTTCATATCAAACACAAACGAATGCTATTTCACTGACAAAAAGGATTAATTTTCAGTGTTATTTTAACTTAGCTGAATTTATTGATGCTAGTTGAAAATTGTGTTTTATTCAAAATGAAAAACTTACCAGTCATGTCATTAGGAATATAAACTAGATTATTGATTGTTTTTGATTTCCAGACTTGAGTATTGACATTTGTTACAGTGATGCCTGATTGTTTACTGTCTGACAAAATAAATGCTGATGCTAGTTTGCAAAAACTTTTGTCAATACTCTAACATTGAAATAGTTTTTTTTTTTGTAAAAATACTCAATAAAATGACATAGAAAAGTTTATTTTCATTAGCATAAAAGACGTATTACCATTTGTCTAGACAGCCTACCTTCATCACGCGAATTCAAGTCTCGAATTTTCAGCGATTAGTAATCTCCGGTAGTAATCTTCACTGTCTGCTGGACATATCAATAATGATCAGATGGATAGAATTATGTTTTAATATGTTACTAGAGTCGATAGACAAATAGAAAAGTTATTTTTAATGAGAGAAGAGAAAAGATGTAACCCTTTTCACTAGCTTTAGCTGATACTACTACAGGTAAAAATTATTTTATTGATCCATGATGAACATATAATAATAAGCAAATACCAGTGAAGAAAAGATTAAACTCGTCATACATACTGTAACTAAATACAGAGATAAATTTTAATCGTTTGTTTTAAAAAACTATCTCAAATCGCAGGTTGAATGTTCATTTACCGCTTATCAGTAGAACGCTTTATGAAATGGTTGCTATCTGTGAAAATCATGGTGTAAAGCTAAGTTAATTTACAGCTTGGCACAAAGTATATATTGATTTGTGACAATTAAACACATTGTAGAGAATGTCTTACTTGATAAGTTATCATCTTGTGATATGATACATGTCCTTGTTTCTTTAAAAGATAATTGGGTATGAACTATACGGGAAGTCTGTGGATTGGTGGTCGTTTGGTGTACTAGTTTATGAAATGCTTGCAGGTTTGGTAAGTATGATCAAATTGTCTCTTACAATTACACCGATCCATATTCTAGTAGATGCTGTTAATTGCAACATAAATGCAGGATTTTAGTGACTCTAATAAGCTTTTCAACAGTCCTTACATTTTGAAATATTTTTGTGTTGAATGGTTATGTTAGTTGTACAGAGATATGTGTCATATCGGTTGATTGTTTGCTTGATTTTCTGTCAATAACATTTATTACCACGATTTATTGTCACGTTTGCCGATACATCAGTCCATGTTCATTATTTTAGACTAGTGACAGCTGCAAATTTTAGTACCGGCTGATAGCTGGCAGGCAATTTAGTTGCATTTTAGAATCCTTTGGACTAGTTCCCTGAACTTTCAAAAAATGAGACCCAGAAATTAGATTAGCTAGTAAGACCCAAATACTATGTGACTTGCTACTCGGTCCTGCTAATGTGAGTTAGTTTTTAAGATTAACTAACCACTAGTAACCTATTTGAAAATATGTGGAAACATACTATTCTACGTTTAAATTGATCTAAAATCTTAGTTTAGATTAGATTAACGATTAATTAGGGAAACTCATCAAAGAATTGGGATACTTTTATAACTGCATCAAATAATCCTCAAATATCAGTTTGTTGTATGAACATTGTACTTTTTTTAAAGTATCATTTCGTTTTAATTTTAGCCTCCATTTGATGGTGAAGATGAGGAAGAACTATTCCGAAATATTGCTTCACAAGATGTTGCTTATCCCCGACATATGTCCAGAGAAGCCTGTATGATTTGCCGTGCTGTAAGTTGACAGTAACCTTTTGATTCGCATATAAATAGAAAAACTGTTGTGTTATTTATTTATCATTGATCTCATCCCCAGTTTTAAAATGAAGAGAAAAAAACGAACTAACCTGTTCAGTTAAATAATGATCCTTTCGGATTTAAAGATAAGCAACTTGTTCTAATATCAACCGGTTTCCTAAATTTATATTCAGTTTGATATTTTAAGTGTGACATATTTTTCTATACGAAGGGAAGCATTTTTGATGGTTCTGTGAGAAACATATACTTAACAGAAACTCAAACGATAAAGTATATAATTCGGATGAACTTAAATTGTTTACTAAATTGTTTAGCCAGTCCAAATAAATTATTTACCTACAGTATTTTACAAGCATTTCACTTTTAAGTAGACAGTTGCGTCTGAATTTCAATGACATATTGTACTAAATCATATTTTTGATTGACAAAACAAGATAAACTGTCCGTGTACTTTTGATGATTTTCACATTTCTGAGACTTCTGTTCATGGAATTATATAAAAAAAGATGTGAACGCTATAAAAGTTGTCTATCAAATTCTCTGGAATCTTTAGTTGAAAGAAAGTTAAATGTATTTTAGTTTTCTTTGACCGATTGTTTTGTCACCTTGAGTTAATTGGGATATCTGTTTCAGACGCTACGGAATAATCGCTTCAGAAAAATGATTATATCGGGATAATAACTTGCGATTCTTATAATGAATAACTCTTCATCAGAACTCCAAAAATAACTACTTAATTTTATGTTTAATGCGTCATTATATAGTCTCTTACTGGTAAGGGAAAGATACCAAACAACATAAGTAATTAACATTTCTTCCTATTCATATGATTTTATTTGGAAGAAAGGTTTTTTCAGGTACGAATGAAATATTTATGTTGACGCGTTGTAGAAATCGTTTGCCTGATTATTTGATAATTAATTGTATGATATTTTTTCGCGTTGTTTCATTAGTTACTGGTACGAAACCCTAATGAGCGACTTGGATGTGGACCGAGTGGAGAAAAAGATATTCGGCAGCATCAGTTTTATCGTCACATTGATTGGCATAAATTATCAAATTTAGAGATCCAACCACCATTCAAACCTCGCATTGTAAGTGTTTGTGGTTAGAATACTACTATTCAGTTGATGGATTTATTTTTTCTTACCTAATTTTGTACACTGATTTCGTGCTATTTTAATTGATTCTCGTAACACTTTATAAACATCTCTTTCTAACCGCCTCTAGCTGTCACATAACATCAAAGCATAGTGGTGGATAGGATGTTGAATTAATTAGATTAGTGGGTTATATTCCAACTTGAACTGTGGAATATGATCAGAATTAAATGACTAGATAAACATAATTTTAGTTGATTAGTACACACTTTTACAATTAATGACTCTAGGGTCAGTGGTGTGATATTAAGATATCCATGTTATAATGGTACACTAACTACACTCTTTCTATTTATGCTAGGTTTTTGTGATGTTACATGGAATGAAACGATAGAAATCCAATAATGCCATACATTTACGTAACGTGTCATCACAGCTTTATCTATATAAAGTTTAAGTACTCTTTTTTTACACGGATTAGTCAGGCTAAACAAAAATTTGTTGTGTCTTTTAGTGTCAGGGGAATACGTAGGCATGCTTAGTAATTGTGCAAAATAACTTGGTACTAGACACAGAAGTACATAAAAATGACATGACTATGAACTAAACTTTAACAGTAATGATTATTTGTTTGATTCTATCCTCTGTGTTATCGATTTTCTTAAAAGTTGATGTGTGTTAACTTGAAAAATAATCAACTCCTTCCTCGTTTACTACAATGTTGCTGTTGTTATACATTAAATGAAGTTGAACGAAAATTTGACAGACGAATTAATTGTACAATTCTCATAAAGATAACCACCTGCCTACAAACTCATTGTGTTAATTATTATCGGTTAATTATTGCATGGTCCATTATTAATTTCGAATCAAAAATCAATAAAGAGCTGCAAATAGTCAATAAGCCATTTTTTTGAGATGAATTTTCGTATTTTATGAAAACAATCTATAAGTATTTTTTTTATTCATCCCAATGAGATGTTTATCTACCAAACTTATAGATAATCATTATTTCAGGTAGTTTAAAGGTACAGATATAATATACATTAAATGGTTTTCGCCAATCGTTCAACCTTCCTAAACTCCATCATCTAATATCATGTACATATCATGACAGAGTTTTACTGAGGAGCTGTTGTGTAAACAAAACTGAGTAACTTAAAATGTGGTAATTTTTTCAGGTTAATTTTAACATTACATAATTTTAGTTTATACAGAATAACATGATATACATTTTATGTCTTTCTATTATTTGTTTTAGAAAAATAAACGAGACGTGAATAATTTCGATTCAGAATTCACTAAAGAACCACCCAAGTTAACGCCAACCGATAAACTATTCATAATGAATTTAGATCAAACTGAATTTTCTGGATTCTCCTACGTGAACCCTGAATATATACTAGAAGTGTAATGATATTAAGTTTAATGAAGAAGTAAAAAGTTAATATTGTACACATAATTATGTTAGCATTTCAATGCTCAAATTAATTGAATTTGTCAATCATGTGTAATCGTTTTCCAATTAACACTACACTATTTACACAGCTTTTAAAATTTCACAATCGTAAAAAATCACAAAAATTAGTTTTCAATGCTATTCATTCATTTTTTTTTGTTAACTATTATGACCTAATACATTGATGCTTTTGAATATGAAAAAAAACTTGATTATGAATTTTTTTTTTCCAACGAACATCATCAACCGGATTCGATAATCAATGAGAGAGTGATAAAAAAAAACAGACCAGAAGTTGATATTCATCGCCACTGCATAATTTTGTTCTATATGATTTTTTGCTCTATGCATATTTGTATATGTTAGTCTTTCGTCATTGATCGTTATGCTTTCCCTCATTATGTTGCCTAGCTATTTGGACTGTTTTTTAGGCCATTATCCAGCTTATATCTTCATCGCCATGTTTTCGCATTTTTTTTTCTGTCACTAACATAAATGCACAATCCTTCGATGATTACAATTTTTTTTCGCTCTCTCTCTGTCTCTCTTAGTTTTTCACGATTTGTTGAGTTTTTTTCTTCTCTTTTTTCTCTCATTTACTAGATGTCTTTTTTTTTCCGGAAAAAAAACTAATTCATCATTTTGTTGACTATCTGATATGAATGCAATGCTACTATCATCACCTATTTGTATTTCATTTGTGCATGTATTCTTCATATTGATTACTGAATTCAAATTCTCAACTTGCAGAATTTTCCGTATTCATTAAAACTTTGATTCAGAATGTTTTGTTACTAACAGTTACTTGTTTTCTCAATGCTTTCTATACCTCTATGAATATGTCAAGTAAACTAGTCAGTCACACGATCATGTTTAACAACATATAATGCAAGTTCTTAATTTCTCCTCCTCAATTTTAATGAATAGAAAGTTTCTGTTCAATATTGTTTATAATATAATTTACTCACTGTGAAAAAAATATAAAACAGATTACATTGTCACTATTTCATACGATTTTTTCCAACTTCTATGGTCTGTAAACTTTGATTTATTGTTTTCAATTTGGTCCATGATTTGTTGATTTTTTTTCTTTGAATTGATACCTTATAGGACTCATTTATTGTGCATACATAAAAAAATATTTCAGCCAATTTATCACGTGTTCTTCACTTACCTTTCGATTTTTCTTGCTTTGATGAACATTCTTGATAAGTCGAAATGTTTTCTCACTGTTTATTCATATATATTATGAATTTCTTATGTAAGTGCCTCTAATCTCATGATTGTTTTTTATGTTTATGTTATCTAATTGTTTCAGTAGAAGGATATGTAGCAAACATTACTTGATGAGGAATATTCCTTAAACCTGATTATTGATGTCCGACTCTGATACTATGGTGTTACTGAAAATTCCACGAGTACTATTTAAAGTGTAATTTTCCTTGAACTTGTTCTTGGTGTATCATGAAAATAACTATATATTTTGTGATAAACCACAAAGTTTGATACATCATGATTGATGTTGTTCCAGTTTATATGAACCTCAGATAAATATATATTATCAGACGACTGCATTTTGTCAGCGTCTTCACCAAGAAGAACTGTGTCATCAGCATACTCTAAGTCAACAAGCGTGTCTCTTAGTAGAAGATCCATTCCTGAAAAGCCAGACGAAGATACTGTTACCTCTAAAAGCAAGTCTAATACAATATTAAAAAAGAATGAGTAGAATGGATTGGTCTGCCGCACACTACTTGAAGTAGAGAATTCCGATGACAATTCGCCATAAGCTCTCACTCGACCTGTAGTGTTCAAGTGGAGAGCTTGTCAGAGGTTAATGTACTCATTTGGTACACCTTTAAACGACAGACACTACCAAAGAACCTCACAATCTACTGTGTGAAATGCTGCCCTAACGTCCAGGAAGATAACTACTGTCGGACGCTTAAGTTTGTGTGTTCCAGGACCTGTCGTAGTATGAAACTGTGGTCTCTACAACCACGTCCATTTCTGAAACCAGCCTGGTTTTCTCTAGTCTGCTCTTCACAAGCTCTAATTTGGCGTCGAAGTATAGTCTAGACTAATAATTTTGACGCTATATTAGTTAAACTGACTCCTCTGTGGTTGTCTTAAGAGGACGTTTATCCGAGCCTATCAGTGATTGTTACCAGTCCGATGGTATTACGCCCAGTCCCAAATCCTACCTAAGATGTTAGGTTATCTAGCGAAAAGTTGTTTCAATACGCTACAAGTTATTGTACATTACTATTGAGTACATGTACTCCAAACTTTAATCTCAAAGTACACTAGGTAAGTAGATATCAAAAGTCCAATATAAAATGCCGCAGTAAAAATGCATTTCAGACAATAAATCAAAGAATCAAAAGCACAAAGTAAGAAGTTTTCTGAAAGTGTGAATTTTATTGAGTCGATATCATCATGTAATATGTTAGTCGATGTGTCATCAATACTTGCACAGTTTCTTGTATAAATTAATACCTTTCAAAGACTTGATGCAGTAATATGATTATATCGTTTCTCAAACGACGTATATATTAGAACGTACACGGTGAGACATTCTTAGTCGTTCATATGAATAGGTACAATATAACTAGCCTGATGATCTTAGATGAGCTCAAACAAAGAAAAGGCTAGCCTGGTTGTAAGCTTTCTTTATTCAAAATAAGCCGCCGCCTTAATCTGGTTATTATTATCAGCTGGAAAATTTTTTTTCTGCTCAACTTTTACAACAGAGAACTTTTTCATGTACACTCTCATTGCCAAAATATCAAGATTTTAATGCTGTTTATTTGATTTAATGATAGTGTTTTCAACAATTGGATTTAAATAGCATGTAGTGGAACACTTCTACGAAGAAAACACGATTCGTGAAAAATGAACATTTATTATTGTACTCGTTTTGTTTAACTGTACAATCAACACTGACATTCTTTTACGCGTTGCTGACATTTTTCATAACTTGCTGCTCTATGTAACGCCTACTGTCTTCTTCAAATAAAAATTGACCATGGATTTATTTCTATAATTTGTGACGTGATAATTATGAATATTTAGTGGTGATCATAGTCAATCTTGACTCGGTCACCGCTAAAAGCATATGACTGAAGAAAGTAATCCTCAGTGTTTCTGAAGATTTTGTTTTTGTGTTCTGACAATAAAAGAGGTTTACTAGAAAGATAATTTGCCTCAATAGTTAAAGGCTTTAGATGCCTAATACCGTTAGATTTTTCTTCATCTAGATACTATTAGAATCCATATGCTTTGCTTTGAAGACACTCTTGATATAACGTATTTGTATAATCCTAATATTAAGAAAAGTTGTTAGGTTTTGTAAACATTTGAAGTCATCTTGCTCTCCAGGCTTCGAGTATTGTGTCGCGATCACCACATTATTGTCTTTAATGGGTTTGAATTAAACGTCCTGAAAGCTAAAGCATGCTAGAAGCTTTTCGTAGTATTCTAAATTGAGCAGCAAGGTTCTTCCTATCTAGTAAACACCTTGGGCATACAAATTATGCTTAAAAGCGTCTGATGAAGTGCACGTTTTTCACTTCCTGATCTGAACGATTTCGTGTTCTTGAAGTCATTTAGAATAAAGTTTCAATTGTTTAACTTGTTTCTTTTTTTTCTGGTTAGCGATTTTTTGGCAGGTTAGTTTTTGACGGAACGGGGTCGCCAACCCTATGTCCAAACATCCTCCTTTACCCAGGCTTGAGACCAGCAGTAACCCCGAAGCTCTACTGGCGGCGATACCGTAAAACTAAACGAATTCAAGATAGCACTCACCAATAGGTTCCAGGCCTTGCACAATATACTCAATAGAGAGTAAGGAACATTGGAGAACTTATGATGGATTAAACTGCAAAATCGTACACGATGGACAGCTAACAGACTCTTTCGAGGTGAAGACCGGTGTCAGGTAAGGTTGCTTACTCTCACCCTTTCTCTTTCTCCTGGTGATCGACTGGATTATGAAGACGTCAACATCTGGAGGGAAGCACGGTATTCAATGGACAGCTAGGATGCAGATGGACGATCTGGACTTCGCAGATGACCTGGCTCTTCTATCGCACACGCAACAACAAATGCAAGAGAAGACGACCAGTGTAGCAGCAGCCTCAGCGGCAGTAGGTCTCAACATACATAAAGGAAAAAGCAATAATTTTCGATGCAACACAACATGCACCCACCAAATCACTCTTGATGGAGATGCCTTGGAGGACGTTAACACCTTTACAGATCTGGGCAGCGTCATCGACGAGAAAGGTGAATCCGATACAGATGTGAGGGCACGGATTGGCAAAGCAAAGGCTGCATTTCTACAATTGAAAAATATCTGGAACTCCAAACAACTTTCAATCAAAACCAAAATCAGGATTTTCAATACAAATGTCAAGACAGTTCTACTGTATGGAGCGGAAACGTGGAGAACTACGAAAGGCATCATCCAGAAGATACAAGTATTTATGAACTGTTGTCTACGCAAAATACTTCAGATTCGTTGGCCAGACACGATCAGCAACAACCTACTGTGGGAGAGAACAAACCAGATTCCAGTGGAGGAAGAAATCAGGAAGAAGCGGTGGAAGTGGATAGGGAATACATTACGAAAAGCACCTAACTGCGTGACGAGACAAGCCCTAACATGGAACTCTCAAGGCGAAAGGAAAGGAGGAAGGGCAATGAACACATTACGCCAAGAAACAGAGAAAGATACGAGAAGAATGAACAAAAATTGGACAGAACTGGAAAGGGAAGCCCAGGACAGAGTTGGTTGGAGAAAACTGGTCGCTGGCCTATACTTCATTGGGGGTAACAGGCGTAAGTAAGTAAGTAAGTAAGTTTACTTTTTCTCTTTATGTTGGCCAGTCGGGTTAATGGATGTATCATCTATGTATTTCCTACATCAAATACATCTGTTATCTCTTCCACGAGCTAGTATTAACCAACTGATTTCTTTGCGCTTGATTCTTGTCCTTTCATTAAAGTTCTAGGTGTTTGAAGATGGTCTAGTCGTTTAGTTCTAGTCACTTGGTAGTTGTTTGTGATTTTGGCTGTCCAGTGGTTTGAATGAGTATGTTTGTTTAAGGGCAGAAGGGTTTTTGTATAACATCAGCTATCATGTTATCAGTTCGTAGATCAGCTATTGGCAACGTGGAGGAATAATAAGGCAAACATTCTAGTGGAAATAAGAAGATTTCAGAAGCAAATAAATGGATAATTTAGTCTGACAATTGACAATGAAGATTGTGCGAGGAGACTGAAGTATTAGCAAGGGAGATAAAACAGAGAACATTAGCGAGATAGCGAGATAAGTTAGTGGTCTGAGAGGATGGCATTAATAAGAACGAGCTGTCCACTGAAGGGGCTGTGGTCACCTCGTCTGTAAACGTCTGCCATCAGTTCGAACTTTGGCATCGTAAGGTTTTAGAGTGGATTCTAAATTCGGAAAAACAGTTCTAGAAGTTTAGGTAGCGCCTTGCCCTGATAATCCCAATAGAAAGCAATTTATCGGGATAAGAAGCGGTTTTATTATTATTTAAATTTTACAGATCATTACCTAAACAATACACTGTTCTCCTTCAAATTTAACACATTGTGTTTCCGATTCTCGAAGAATGCTTCCGTATAGGTCCAAAATTGCACCCTTCCAGTCCAGATTCACATTTACCCGCCGGGGTATAATATCCGATATGGCTGACGCCATAATCAAGTATCAACTTAATCAACATAATACAGTTCAGTAGAAAACACATAAACTCCAATAAAGGTACAATAAAATAGGAACGATTACAAAACACAAATATAAACATCCGAAAGCGGAATTAAACAGACTAACAAAATGTAGCACGGAAAGATTCAGTAAGAACATATTACAAATATATACATGGAATGATTTTCCCAAAACAAAGCCTTCAAAATGGATTCTTCAAGCATTGCAAGCGTTTCTCAACTCTAAGTAAGAACTACGGTCGAAATCCTTCAGGGGGACCTTCCACTTATATCAGGCTCCAGGCATATGTAAATTTGATCTAGCCTAGTAAAGTTACGGCTCGTTTTCATCCTGCCTGAGTGTTTCGTTTATTATCCTATTAAACAAGTCCGTGCCTCGGTCACTACTTCCCTCGACCAGGAACTGATTATTTGTTAACAAGAAGTCTAAGTTTGAGAATTTTTCCACCTCAGTACATCTAGTAGCTCTGAAAACATGCTCAGTCATCTCAGAACGTCTGATGGCTATGGCCAGTCGTCTTTAAATCCAAGCAGTGGGGGTTGTACTCTGTTTGCTTATATTTAGCGATATTAGTTAATAAAAAACTATTAAGATTCAGGCTGCTTGTTAATTGTGCTTATTTATGCCCTGTATGGTAACCCGCCCTAACCAGCTCAAATAATTGGACAAACAGTTACTTCTGTTCAAAGGGAATCGAAAGAGACTCGGACATCAAAGGTCTTCAGGAGTATTTATGGGGTATAAACTTTGACTTTATGCATCATGAATTCAATACATAACTTTCGTTTCAGAGCCGAAGTGGTACATTAGATAT